CCTAACCTCTGCAGAAGTTTATTTACGGTAGGAGTACACTCGGAGGCTTGCCATTGTCTGCGAAAACCCTGTTTGATGTTGCTGTGATCAGAAATTGAACCATGGGCTTCCCGAGTGGCAGTAGGTACATCTAAGCACTCGGCTACCGCGGGAGGGGCACTACTCAAAATGGAAAAAAGTCAAAAAAGATGCAATAAAATATTTAAAAAAAAAGTGCAAATAAGACCAAACGTGAATTTTTCACTGATTTTAATTTGTTGCAGTTTTGATCTCAAAAACCTTTTGAACTTATTTCGCGTTGAGTGACAATTTCCCAAGTAGATACGATACCATATCGATACTTTTGGCATTCAATAACGATATTTTTTACTCGTTAGTTTTAAAATGATATTTTTTGAAATCGAGTGACAGAACCCTAGTATTGAATGGAATGTCATGAACTCACATTAAAAAGATAATATGATTAACAATTCTTCCCGATACATAAAGTTATGTTCATTTGGAAAAGGCAGTATGAATTAGACAGTAACAAAGTTCAGAGAATAGGGGATCTTACTCCCCCAAAGAGAGAAACTTACAAAGTTTTGCGTGAACAGGAATTCGTAGAAATTTAAATAATAGCTTTTTTAAATCATTTCAAGTGGAAAACAATTCCACTTTATTCTCACTTTCTGCAAAATACGCTTCAATTTGCTTGTGCTAGTCACTGTCGGATTTCCTATATCGACATGGCTGTCGACAGCGTTCAGCCCAGTAACTTTCCAATCATTGGTTTTAATTAAATTAATTTAGTAAACAGATATTTACATATTTCTTTCATTAATAAATCGCAACAAGATTGTGAATTTTTAAATCTAACGAACTTGTTGATTCAAAATATTGTTGGCAAAATTGCAACCGTGTGCCACAATTCTGTTTGCAAATTTTTGCCATAAAAAATTTTCCCAGCCCGAATTTTTAACTTCCCCTTCAAATGAAATTTGAATATTGTACTCTCTACTTGCAATTTTTGCAAATTTTTTTACCATACGAACGTGATTTGGTAACACTTGGTATCAGCTTGTACAAGTTTTTTTGCATAACGAACAGAACCTAAATTGTACTTTAAAGAGCAGAAATTTGTACTATCGTTAGGATGGCATGTGGCGGGACCTCAATCTCCATGCAGTTTTACGCCGACTCTGAACGGCGATTCTTCTTTTATGAGAAGTTGTTTTTTATGGCTTATCACTACACGACAGCGGCCTACATACTACCATAATATTAAGGGAACTGTTGTTTTTTGGATTTTGGTATCGATATTTGCGATATCGAGTCTTTTTATGCCGACATTAATGGGTACCCGATATTTTTACAGCGGTAATTTAAATAAAATCCTAAGTTTGGACCGTAAACATTTTCGCGTACAAATCACTTTATTCGGTTTACAACCATAAACAAAAAATACAATTTGAGCAATTTTTCAAAATTCGAAGCACTATTGTTATTATTATTTTTTCTACATGAATTGAGTAATTATTTATTTTTTACTGACTCACAGCGTGTATCTTGCTGATTGTTTTTCATGATAATAGTTAATTATATACCCTGTAGCCTGACTGTTAAAATACTCGACCACATCCTCGAATTTCATCCTTCTAACTTTATTAGCTTAAAAAAATAAAATTAATTAAAAGGGCAATATCTATTCGTCATTGCCAACAAAAAATTTGATTTTTTTTTAGGTAACTCGTTTTCCTCCATTTGGTACACAGACTTTCAATTTATATTGCCCCGCATTTTTGAAACAATTTTTGCAATTAATCATATCTTTGAAACTACAAAGTTCTTAAAAAAAAAAACATCCTGACGTCACACAGTGCCGCGACTCCATACAAATGATGGACAAAAATAGAAGGAGTGGTCAGAATTGGCTGAAACTTCACACCTAGAAGTATTATGCCTCTCTTATTTCAAAAATGAAATCGGTTTTTCTGTACCGGTTACTCATTTCGAGAAAACCGAGTTTTTCTTGCATTTTTATATGAAAATAGTCATTGTGGACATGTGTTGATATAAGTGGAAGGAGGCATCAGAATGGGCTGAAACTTTACACCTGAAAGGACTATATCACCGCAATTTAAGAAAAAAAAAACGTTTTTCAGCATATGTTACCATTTAATAAAAAAAATTTTTTTTTTACAATTTTATAAAAAGGTAAAATAACTCATAATCATCGTAGACATATGTTTATAAAAACCGAAATAGTATTCAGAACTTGTTGAAACTTTACACCTAAAAGGACTAAGCCATGCTTATTTCAAAAATGAAATCGATTTTTCGGTACCGGGTACCCATTAAAAAAAAAAGATTTTTTTTTTACATTACTATATGAAAGACAAATGAGGCATAACCATTGCTGATTGTGGTGTTTACGAAAACCGGAAGGAGTCGTCAGAATTTATTGAAACTTTACATCTAAAGTGTCTATATTACTCTAATTTTAAGAAAGTAATCGGTTTTTTTGTAACGGGTACCCATTAAAAAAACACCGAGTTTTTGCACATGATTATTTAAAAATGAAATATGGCATATCATTGTTGCTAAGTGTTCAGAAAAATAGTCTTAATAGTCAAAATTCGTCTAAACTTTACTTCCTAAGTGAATACATTATGGTAATTTGAAAAATTAAGTCGGTTTTCCTTACATGTTAACCTTTAGAAAAAAAAATTCTTTTGATTTCATTTAAAATAAAGCATAATCACTGTTAAGTAAGTAAGTAATAATAACTGTTATATGGTAATAACATATAATATGTTAATAAAAACCGAACTAGTTGTTATAATCACTCAGTTTCAGTGTCCTCAGAAGAGGAGGAAGTGATCACTGATTCAAATGATTCCATGCTTTTGTCTGCTTCGTCACTTTCAACAATGTATTTATTAAAGCTGAGATCAGAACCCTTTAAATATTTGTTTCTCTGTTTTATATTTCTTTTAAATGCAACTAATGGATCTGACGATAATATCAAACGAGTCATTAAATCTGTATTGCTTTGTACTCTTCCAGTTTTTCGAGAATGATTAAGCCGATATTTTCTTATGTTTTTGTGTGAACATTCTAAGGCTTCTTCTGATAATGAACCTGATAAAATAGGTGGAAATACAGATTAAGAAAATAAATGAAAACATAGCTTTAAAATCATTACCTATTGGTAAATCAAAGTATTTAATTACATCACATCCATGTACTAAAACTTTATGCACTGAACTTGGCATGTTATACCAACCATAATTTCTAAGGTATAACTCTCTTGTTTCGTTCAACAAAACACTAAACTCTTGGGTTTTTATTTGTTTTCCACAAGAGAGGACTCTTAGCACCATAGAAAAATTCATGAAATTTTAAACTCGCGTTGAGCAACATTTTCCACTAATAGTAAAACGTTGAAATTTTTGCACAGGTAATGTAATTAGTTAGGTGAACAAAATTATAAAAAGACTCAATCAAAAAAAAAATATTTAAAAAAATTGGACCTCCCTGATGTGCATACATTTGTACTATCATTTTCGCAAGCTGTTTTTGTTTGCTGCTTAAGCAAAATAGTACTCTTTATGCAGATGAAGAGTAATAGGTATGTTATTTATTTTTATTTTCTTTTTGTTCGCCTTTCGTCTAATCATTGGGCGCTGTAAGGTGTCTCGATTGCATTTATTTCCTTACCCGAATTGGTTAACATATTATTTGTAAACTGGTGTCATTGCTCTATATATATATATATATGTAAATCTTCGTATACCTTTGTTTTTGGCTCCCATACCGTGATGCATATTTAAGTATTTTAATTAGCTGATAATTTTTTTCATTTCAAAGCACCCTGTACCTCTTAATTTTTTTTTTTGCACTTTTAGCTTTAATTCAACACCTTATTTTTGAAAAGCGAACCAAAAATTTAGATCTTAGGGCATTCAGAAAAAGTATTGTAAATATAGATCAGCTAAAATAATACCAAAAAAAGGCATTTAGTCACTTTTTCAAAATTGAAAATTTTCAAATATTGGAAAAAGTTGGAAGAGATTTCGATTGTTTCTGTTAGTAGAAGGTCCAAACTACCATAACCAAAAAAAAAATTTCACGAACTTTCAAGATGTTTTTTTGTTTTTGTCTCCAAAGTTTACCAATTTTCGGATTTTGGTATGTTTAATCATATATTTATTTATTAATAAAAAAAAAATATTTGTATAAATTTTTTTTCCATGAACCATACATTTTTTGGTTTGTCGCATATATCTTTATCAAAGTGCAAAAGTTGATCTTGCTAGGAATAAAAATGTATTTTTAACAAATTTTTAACTGCGACCACTTTTATGTGCGAATCGCCGAAATGAAATGGTATGTAGAAAATAGGTGTACTTTGAGGGGGTGTGTGAGGCTGAAAGTTGTTTTTATCACAAAATAACTTATGAACTTCTCTTAGTTGGAGATTTAGCTGTAACTTGACATCAAAACATCTAAGTTTCAAGACAGTCGATTTTTGTATTTTTGTCCACCTTCGCGGCACTGTGCGTCAGAGAGAAAAATAAAAAACGCACCTTTTTTATATCTGGTACACAATTTTGTGAATATAATTTTTTTTTTTTGTTTTCGTCGCACGTTGTAATCGAACACCCTAGTGTCAACGCAATTACTACCTTTCGATTTCCAATTACAAAAAAGTGGCTGATTTTTAGGAGCATTTAATTTGTATTCTTTCTGTGTGAGGAAAATATTCAATTAACTCATAAATACACATCAATTAAAGTAAGTAAAAAATTTAATAACCACAGCTAAGTACATATACCTATTCCTTAAAAAAAAATTTGCTATCAAAAAACTTACCTTAAATAAGCACAGCGTTCTTTAAATCAGCATTATTTGGCGTCATTTTAAATGCAAATGCGTCCTACTTTTCAGCCTGGATTAACCATGTTTTTTGACATCAATGCCAAGCGTAATAAATAAACCGATATCATTGTTGAGAGTATAAATTTTATTGCATAAATTACAGTTACAAAATACACATACACATATTACAAACACTTGTATATTTATATGTAAGCGTATGCATGAATACGAAATTTTAAGAGTAAGTGTGTACAATATAAGTATGTATTTTAGATTTTCTTTTTTGTTCGTGTCTATTTACTTAACCCATTTAAACATTATTTACATATTATGTAGTACATTAAAATCCTTGTGCCTTACATCTACGAAACCTCCCAAAAGTTGAAAAAAAAATTATACGTCGACTGCCAACTTTGTGTGCCAACGCAGTGTAAAAGTCCCCCAAGAAACTAACGAATTAATGAAAGCATAACACTACAAATATATTATGCTTTCATACATACATAGATGCATACAAACATTTATTATTATCGCATTAAATTCGTGGTTTGTAGACACCTATGTATGTACTTCGAATAGGTGAATGTTGTTTTTTATTACCCTGTAACCGAAAAATACCGTAACGCGCTATACCTTGTATGTTCTACGCCCTAAAGACGTACACACACCCACACATATACACACACACTACCGTCCCGTTGCTATCACCAATTCAGCCCTTCTTGAATTTGAGGAATAAAATGCTGAGCACCAAGAATACTATCACCCACAGCGATATCGAGATGAAGCCATTATGCACAGATGGTTCGGCGAAACCCCAACCGCGTTGCAATATCGAACGCAGGCACTCGGTCGGCTTAGTCAGTGGCAAGAAGGTGGTTATGTACTGCAATACCGGATACATTCCCTCAATGGGCCAGATGATGCCACACAACATCACAATTGGCAAGAATGAGCCCAACGCTACATAGGTGGCGGTGCGTTCCGTGTCCACTGCGCACGCAATCACAAATCCAAAACACATGCCACACAGCCCATTTAGCAGACAGAGTCCTATCACCAGCCACATGCTGCCCTCGTTGGTCAGATCGAAGAAACCAAAACTGACGAGTAGCACAAAAGACATTTGCAATATGACGACGGTGAATTGTGAGAGCACTTGGGAGAAAAGTATCTCGGGACCGGTAATGCCGGCCACCAAGCAACGTTCCAACATTCCCTCGTTGCGTTCGATCAACATGGCACCCGATGTAATGGCTACCGAAAGGAAGAAAATTATGGTTAGGATGACGCCCGGTGCGGCAAAGTCGGTGAAATTCGGATTGTTTGTGCCGTAAATGGGCTGTTGCCAATCGATGGGTATGCGGCCAATCCTCGGGTTCAATTCGCAGTCTTCGAGTATGCGTTCGACGAAATCGAAGAAAGTGTACTGTAGATCGCGGTAGAGTAGTGTGGAGATTTGCTGATCTGTCAGAGGAAAAGTGGAAAAGGAGATAAATTGTTTGATCAGTTATTATAGATATTTGTAAATATGAAAAAATTTACACGATGTTTGAAAAATATTTTTTTTTTTAAGGACATGTTTTGTTTTTTGAATTTTGCTATCGGAAAAGTTATAGTTAGGTGCCTAACTTGGGCGAAGGTATGTTTATTTAAAATAAATTCGCAATTAGGGTACCTATAGAAACAAATAAAATGCCAGCAGTGGGAAATGTCACGCGGAGTATCTAAGAAGCAGCCGCGGTGAACTATCGTATCAGCAACGCAACTACTTAGGTGTGACCTAAATTGAGAGAGTGATCCTTGGTAATACATACCTCATAGCTTGAATTAAACTAAGCGAAACTTATTGACAGTAGTGAGAAAATAGCACATATCTGACGCTAGTTTTGAAAAGGACTCGAGCTTAGATCGTTAGGTGCAATATTGGATCAAATGGCCAAACGTATGCAACTAAAAATATTTAGCAAAGTAAAAAGTGTCATACAGCTCAAGTCTCATCATACATTCATTTAACAGGAATGACTAAACTGATGGAAAAATTATCCTTCTTATATAAAAGCCTTTAAATAGTCAATGGGTAGAGTAATTTTATTACAGACGCTATTTCCATTATGTCCTAATTATTTAGCCTATGTAGGTCTAAGTAATATTAAAGTATCACCAAGAATATTTTTATCCAGTTGGGAGCAATGAAAAGGAAACTGGAAATGTAGACAATCTACATTAAAGTTTAGCAGTAGCAAAGTTTAGATGGCTTTCAAACGGCCAAACCGCGCTCCACAAATATATCAGGAATAAACAGCGTAAAAGGAAATCAAGGCATTGTGTTGGCGCAGTAATACTTAACCTACTCATTTGATGACCAAAGTGGTTTTACGGAATATACATCAAGTTTAATTTTTTTTTTGATCGAAGCCATTTCGGGCGCATACAGTAAAGCACACCCACGATGTAGAGAACAAAGGTGGCCGAACATTAAATACCCGGCGCAAGTATTAAATATATGTTTTTCACCTTTCCGAAAGCTACCGCCGGTAGCCGGGCTGTACCAATTTTGAGTAAATTAGCGTCCTTAAGTTTCAAGCATTTCTGAAATTTATCGTTATATGAAAAGCTCCGTAAGAGTCCGATTTCAATAATTTTCAACGGTTTACTTTTATGTGGCAAGCACAATAACCATACCAAGTTTGGTACAAATTGGTAGAACGGTAGTAAGTTCCAAAAATTTATAATAATCTTATTTTTCGCCTAAAAATTATTTTAAATATTAATTTTGAGTGAATAATCCCCAGTAGTTACTAAAATATCGCAGTTTTCGTATTTCTGAAAATTACCGTTATATGGGAGGTGGGCGTGGTTATTGTCCGATTTTGCCCAATTTCAATACCGTCCGTTCTACGCCAGAAAGACGTGCACATACCAATCTTCGTTAAGATATCTCGATATTTACGCGAGTTATCGTGTGCACAGACGGACGGACGGACAGACAGTCGGCGCTTAATCGATTGTATACATTTGTCTATATCCATCTCGATTCGTTTTGCCTGTTACAACAACCGTTATGTGAACAAAGTGCGCTCGGGTATAAAAATCCTATCTGATGGACGCAATCTGGTATTCTATCATTCTTTAAGCACAGCAGTCATTTATGTTTTCGCCTGCTGACTCCAGCATGATCTTTCTATCTTAGAGGATAGCTCTCTCTTCTCGGCGTCCATTCGTATGACATGACCGAACTGTCAACGGTAGCCGGTAGCCGTCAGCGCAGCCGTAGTCGCCGTCACCAACGCGTTAGCGTCCGTAAAGTCTTCGCAGAATGTTTTTCCCAGAAAATTTATTTTGATGAATTCGATATGCATATCTTTTAAATTTGCCCCTTTTGACCTAAACAACTTATATATATGTATGTATATAAAGCTTTATTGTAGGATGACGATAAGACGTGCCGAAGTTAAACCCCTGCAAAAGCGGCGACCAAGTCAGACGTACTGTTAACCTTTAATAATATAACGAATTATTTTAAAATTTTAATTTTGTGGGAAAACACAATCAAAGTTTTATCAATTCGTACAATTGGTATACAAAAAGACAGATTGAAAGACACATATCTTGACCGTGTTTGGGAAGTTCGATTATCTGTTAGACTATAAATTGCGTACTGAAGTTACGAGTTACATCTCTATATTATTAAACGTGTGATATATACATCTCGTAACTTTTTCAGCCACCAGAAAGAGTTACACTGATGCGCTCAAGTTTACTCGACATTGCCTATTTAAGGGCACTTGCTTGAAGCAGAACCACTTTCTTGTTGTACATAAAGGTAGGAAGTCTTGTTCTCCTTAAACAAAAGCCTAGCTATGCTTCGTCAAGATCGGCTTAAAGTTCTACAATCGATTTATCGAAGCTAAAGAGCGACGGTAAAGTGAATGTTTTCTTATACTTATTTGAAATGGATATGATTTGTATTTTTTAATGTCTTTAGAAAACATAAAACGTATATTAAACATGTGTGCAACCAATATTCCGATTGTTTATGTGAAATTCAATTTTTTCGCAACATGTGGTTATCCCAGTATAAGCTCTGAACCAAAACGTCAAGTCCAATCCAGCGTGGGTTATCGTTTTCCTGCATCACTAAAGTTAAAGATATGTACATATGTATATGTTTGTATATGCAGAATTGCGACAAATTGCAACCATATACATTGCATGTTTTAAGTATTAAATATGGCAATGAACAATTTTTCTGAATTTTTCATTTTAAAAACACCAATGGTAACCAATAGCAAACGAAGCATCACCATTGTTTCTAATGGTCTGATTGCTCTAGCGATGCGTTTCGATAACTTTTCGGAAATAATAAGAAGGGATGGGTATAGAATTTCCCTGGAAAAAACTCTATCTTTATGTTTTCGGACACCCTATTTCACATGCTTCTTCGGATTTTACTTCTTGCCTAGAAAGAAAAACTTGTTGGCAAGAATGATTCTCCGTTAGATTCCAGGGCTATAATTATTATGAATGTTTATGCTGGAACTGCAAAAAAAAATAGATTTTCTATATTTTCGAAACTATAACTGTGGAGGTGACGATTGGCATAAATTTTCCCGCTTTTATGACATTAGATGATGTCATTGCTCATATTGGATAGTTTCGCAAGGACATGAATACCAGACATTGCGACGTGTAGGTCACTGTGGTTCTTTTTAAGCTCCATAGTTATGTTGTTAGAGGATCTACTAGTGAGGCTATTATGCAAAGTTAGACTTCGTTCGCGAACTACCTACCAATCATAAGGCACAATATGTATGTGGTTACGTCAACAAGTGCGATAGCGATACGAAAATTGTCGCTAACTGGTTTCCGAATCTCCTCCAGTTCTGTAATTCAAATATTGTATGAGCTAATTCTGAGATAGAGAACGCAAGCCTCACAAAAACTCGTGAGGAATAGAAATGACGATGGTGCAGAAGAATACAGTTTATGCATTTTTGTATTGCTTGTGGTGCTTGCCTTCACTCTTGAATTCGACTAACTTTTAGATAGCAAAAATTTCGCCCAGAAGTAGGCAACATTTAATTTCTGACATGTCTTTGTTACTACTCGATATACTTAACGCATGCAATTCTCAATCGACTTCCGACAAAAACCATTAAAGCCGGGTGGTTTCCAGATATAAAATAAATGTACGTAAATGATTTTTGAATCATGTTCGGTCAAAGCAAAAATATCAATTCTAAACAAATCATCACAGGTATTAAGCGCATATAGTTTTTCAGTGAATTGACAATTGGTAAACTGATTATCTGGCCTATTTTAACCAACAGGTAGGTCGAGAACTGAATTGGCTCAGCTAGTTGTTTTTTCGGGTAGCTGAACAAACAATCGAGCACATTTTAATGCCCATCTAGGAGAGGCACCTAAAGTGCATGTCACCTTTTAAGAAGGGATCAGACGATTTGCGTATTTGCACATTTTGCCAGATACAGAGTGGTGTTGTCTATAAATATTGAAAATAAGTTCAGCTTAATAAAAGAAATTCCAAAAAATTACACTCCGTAACTGCTGTGATCTCCACTTTACACTTAAAATATGAGTACTACTCACTTGACATATCTAAGCGCACATTCACATCGGAGGCTTCAATGGTAGAGTTTTCGGCATAACGTCCATTATCCACGCGTTCATGCAAAGCATCCGTATAGTTCCTATCGAAAACTAGAGCGCCCCAGGCATTGCCGAGACGCACTTCCTCATTAGCTTCAGCTTCAGTGTGGTAGTACTTCTACAGACGAAATGTTGTGTTAATTTTTAAATATTCCAAATATTTATTCGAGCTCAACTTACTACGCGCATGCTCTTGTTCTTCTTCAGCATATCCAAATAGCGACAACTCAAATAGGTTTGATTACAACCCGGATAAACTGGACAAAATTGATCGATAGCCATTTGTTCTGAGAGTTCACCATTTGCAACAGCCAACTTGAGACCGGTGGGATCGTGTCCAATGGCATAACAGAAAAGAATGATCTGTACTACAGGCAAGGCGACTATAAAGAGCATAATACTACGAAATAGCAGAAGAAAAAAATAAAAAAAATTATACGAAGATTCAGTGCCCATCCCTTCCCACCAACTCACCCCACATTGCGCATCATCCACAAGAAGTTCTTCCATATCAGCGCACGCATATGATGCGCACTAATCACATTCAAGTGCTGCAATATCGATGTTGGTGGCTCCTTCTCCGGCGGCAGCGGTGAAGCTGGTATCTCTGCTGCTGTTATTGGATCACGTATCGCCGAATTCATTGATATATTATCACCAAATTCACCAGAGATATCTGCAGTATTATGCTCATCTGACATATCCAAAGCTGGATTGGAAATGGCTGGCACTTGCACTTGTTCGACAATTTCCTGTGCAATCGACGAACGACGCCGACGTCCCATATTCTGCAACACAGACAACTTGAGAAAGACTTCCTCCAGTGAGCTGGCATTATATTGTTGGCGTAAAAGGTTGGGCGACTCCTCGGCAAGCATGCGCCCGCCACGTAAGAGGCCAATCTGTAAAAGAGATGGCAATTGGGAGATGAAAAGTTTAGTTGGTCTCTGGCGTAATTGTTTATTTAAATTTTTTTTATGAAAGTGTTTATACGCAATAATATATAGTAGTACAAGTATATATGTATTTATCAGTGATGGGCATACTTAAGTACTTTTGTATTTAAAGTGTCATTTTTTGTACCAAATAATTAAATTCTTAGTATTCGGAGATGTTTAAATATTCAAGTAGTATTGAGGAGTGGCTATATACTCAAGTAACAAAAATTGATATTTAGTAGTCAAGTCAAAACCACTTAGGTATTTAGAAGCTGTTAGATTCTAAAGTTAAAAAAGTTAAGTATTTATCAGGCGTTAAAAATAAAAAATACTCAAGAGAGAAGATTCTAAATACTTTCACTAAAAGTATGAAGATAAAGTAAGATTTTACTTAAGCTTAGATTTTTTTTTCTTGTGAATCCTTGCATTTGAAATTTTAAATGAGTTAGAAATTATTATACTTCGCATTTAAATGGATTTTTCTATACGCTAATCAGATGAGTTTTTCTTTGCCTGATTTATGTTGATTTTGGACCAATTTTATGGGGTTTTCAAATTTAATTGGGGAATTTTTTTCGAGTGGTTGGCAACACTGCACTACACCAAAAACTCACCTTGCTCAATTTGGGAACTATTTCGGGGCTTTAGAGATTTTTTAATTTATCAGGACTATTTCGGTATTCTCGGTACTATTTTAGGATCCCCAAGACTGTTTAGGGATTTTAGAGATTATTTCTGGATTCCAGTCCAGTTTAGTGATTGGAGTATTTGGAAATTTACGTTTTATTTATCAATCTTGATATCGATTCGGATCTCGAAAAACCAGAATACTCACTAGAATCCTATGAACCTCGAAAATTCTGAAATAGCTAGAAAATCCCGAAATAGTGCCGAAAACTCTGAAAATGCAGAAAGTCCTAAAAATCCCGAATTAGTCTCGAAACTCCTGAAATAATCCCGAGAATCCCAAAAATTCTAAAAGTGTCGCAAATTCCCAAATAGTCCCTAAAGTATGGAAAATCCTAAAATAGTCCCAAAAACGTCGATATAGCCCCGAAAACATCGAAATAGTCTATAAAGTCTCGAAACTTGAAAATCCCGAAGTTCTCAATTTTTACACTCAGTATTTGGTTTTTAATCAAGTCATAAGTACTAATTGATTTTGTTGCGTATTTAGTGAAGACAAAGTCTCTAAATACTTTGGTACGCGGTAGTGAAGACAGTGCAAGAATGATAGAATACAAGATTGCGCCAAGCGAGTTGAGAGCAAATGAGCGCGACGCCATCAAATACAAGAATGGGAGAGCAAAGACGAACTCAACAAGAAGAAGAGGAATAATCGAACAAAAGGCAGTGTTGCCAAGTTTTGAATTTGAAAAATTTGATTGGTGTATTTAATGGATTTTATATGTATGCATAAACATTTTTATTGTAAGGATACCGATTCAAATTAATAAAAATCAATGATTCTTGCTCGACGGAAGATTTCTGCTGGCATGAATGAAAGTGCTGTCACATATTCAATTACGATTGCTATAAATTTTGCTTCCATTTTTTTTAATATTTACAGAGTTTGAGTTTGAAAACTCCAAATTAAAAGCACCAAAAACGCACTAATCATAAATAAAGAGAGGGTTAGCGGTCCGCGAATGGCGCCACCTTTATTTTCTGCATCGTGAAGCCAGAGTCTCTAGGTACTTCTGGTGTTGCGTTAAGTGAAACTAACTAAATACTTTTAGACTAAGTAGTTAGCGCTGTGAACAAATGTACTAGCATACTCGGTATTTTGTAACATCTGAAACACTTAAGTAGATAGTACTTTGGTATTTACTACAACATAAATACCTAAATATTTTTGTACTTAATACTTAAAAAGTATAATTTTGCCCATCACTGATATTGATGTTGTTAGTGGTAAACGAGATTAATATGTGCGCTTATCAAAGCAGATATTTTGTGTGCCTGCATCTATTTACAAAATAAATTTGCTCCTGCCTAAGTTTGTCGTGTGTTTATCATTTTGTGCGCCATCGCCCAGTTAGCTGTTAGCCACTTGCGGCCAAGTAAACTTTGTAATAAACCACATTGTATAGTTGAGCTTGACCCAAGCCGCAGTCAATTATTGTATGCACACTAGGGTAGTCTAAAATAGTGAAGTAAAGTAGGATTGTTCTTTATAGAAAAAAAACACCAAAAAATGCAATGGGGGACTATTAAAAAATTTTATTTGGTATTATTGTTGGAAGTCTCCTGAAGAAAAACATAGCTTTTCCGATCAAAACATATTGATTTTCAAGAATTCTATAAGTACCATTTCCATGAAAATTTGTTTTCTCCCCATATAAAATACACGAAAAAAACTTTGAGCGCTTTGAGTGACCTCTATTTATTTTTTGATTTCGAAATAAAAACAGAAGGGTATACTTTTTCAATATAGAACCATCGTACGAGGTGTAATTCAGGTTGTAATTGGGACCTTACGTTTTTCACATGCATTATTGGACCATCCTAATGCACACACACACAACTAAAAATACACATCTCTAACTTGACTATCAATTTTGTTCAGCCAGTTGGACATACAGCAGAGGTGGCACTGTGTAGATGTTGTGCGTGTTTGTTGTGGGGCTCCTACATTTACCTCTCACTCGATCTCAGACTATTTACAAACTCTACAAAAAAGTTAACTCTCTAAATGGAAAAACTCAATGGCAACGGATTTTCGGATGAGAATGCGCTTAAAAGTTTTATCATTTCTTGGTACCTACAACAACAACGTTTTTTTTTTTGGTGTTTTAGTATTTAAATTAGCTAGATTATGAATGGGACAGTAAACTAAATAGTGCATTCTGAAGGAGAGAAACATTGTGTAAGGAATGTCAAAATTCACTTCAAAATAATGGAAAAAGTAGATATCCAGGAGTAAAAAATAGAGAAAACAGATCGCGACTTACTCTGTGGGGACTTATGACTTGGATATTATAAGGCTTACCAAAAAAAGGATTTTTTTCGGCAAAACAGGAATTTTATTTCTCAACACAGCGTTCTTGATACATTTGGATTAGAGTTTTTTAAATTTCTGATTTGTAAACAATTTTGCTCTCCCTAGTTCGGGTTTATTTCGAAACTAGTTCGACATTAATATGGGACAAATTCTGGGTTATTTCGTGGCTAGTTCCGGACCATTGCAAACTGAGAACCGAACGTTTTGTGCCTTCAGTAATACATTGGCTCTTTATCCAGCGAACAACGAGTGTTGAATTGCTGCGAATGGATACAGAGTCATGTTTAAGAACTGCCGTAGGACCAAGTAATTTACCAAAATACAACTCTCTGAAATTTCCAAGCAAGTCCGATGGCCACCGGCCTCAATTATAATTTAAGGGAAACCGCAGGTCCAAAGCGTATGGAGTCTGGACTCGATCATTTGTTGTGATAGCAAATTACCAGAAGATCATTGGTGTTAAAGATGAAAGAAAGAAAGTGCCAAAATCATTAGAAGGGATACATGTGAAGCAGGATAACTGAAGTCCGAAATGAGTAACGAAATGGTATGACTATAGAAGCTCCGGGGAATTTTACAATGTTACGATCGAGAATTTAGCTTTAATTTTCCCAAGAGCTCATCTGAAAATTGTTGCAGCCGATATACATATATATCACACAACGATACAGGGAGAGGTATAGCATCCAGCCATATCCAGTCACAATCTAGAATGTGATTCAAGTGTTTAACCCACTCATACCCACGCCCAGTTGGAGCTTGATCGGTAAGCAGAAAATGGATTGAAATAAAAGTTAAACAAGTGAAATTTTAGGCAAATGAATATAAACATAAGAAGTAGACAATTAATAAAATTATAGTTTAAAAAACTAAAACATCCCTATTATAATAGCCATTCGTACTTTCATCAGGTATGTAAGTTGAGAATAGAAATCGCTGCATCTTTTAAGCGCATCGATATTACATAGTTACATCCCGAGCTAATAAAAGGAAGGTAAAAAATGCCGATGGTCTTATTTCTCAACAACAAAAGACTGGGCCTCATAGCGAGGAGGCGCAAAATCAAATTTAAGTTGGCTTCGCAAAGATTAAAGTCTACAAAATCGTCACTCTAACTTGGGTCAATTCCGTGACAGCTGAAAATCCGGCAAGCGACCATCATACGAGCGTTATTTTACATTCTTTTTTTGTTCGAAGTAACGCAAAAGACGAGAGAGAAGAAACTAAAAAAGCTCTTGAAATTCGTTTGTTAGAAAAACTAAAAGCTAATATTTACTACAGTTGTGTATGCAGTACCACAACAATGGTAATCGTAATTGTAATTGTAATCGCAATCGTTCTTGCAGTTGAAATTGTAAGCCTAGTCATTATCATAGTCATTATCATAGGCGTAATCATAGTAAAATCAAAGTCGTAGTCCTAATCGGAAGTGTAATCATTCTCAAAAGCCCCTTATCCTTATCCTTATCCTTATCCTTATCCTTATCCTTATCCTTATCCTTATCCTTATCCTTATCCTTATCCTTATCCTTATCCTTATCCTTATCCTTATCCTTATCCTTATCCTTATCCTTATCCTTATCCTTATCCTTATCCTTATCCTTATCCTTATCCTTATCCTTTCATTATCCTATCCATTTAGTTATCGTTGTCGTTATAATAATAGTGTTCGTTATCGTTATCCTTACCATTATTATCTTTATCCTTATGCCTATAAATATCCTTACGTCCATTCTTTTAGTTATCGTTATCGTAATACTCATAATAATACTGAGTTATCGTTTTGCTATTGTTATATTTTTCTTATCGTAATAGATATCGTTATCTATATCCTTATCGTTGTCGTTTTTGTTATCGCTCACGTTTTCATTACTTAATTCTTTTATCAATTACAGAGGTATTTCACGAACATCAGAAAAACTTTAATAAATATTTAGCTCAAGGCAAGCCACTACTGCAG